CAGAACCTTGATTACTCTTGTTGCGCAAAAAAGCTGGAAGCTGTATCAACTAGATGTTAAATCTGCATTTTTGAATGAAAAATTGCAGGAAAATGTATATGTTGAACAACCTGAGGGATTTGTAGTTGATGGCAACGAGGATAAAGTCTACAAATTGCACAATGCCTTTTTATGGACTAAAACAGACACCTAGAGCCTGGTATGGGGAGATTGACAACTACTTCATTCAATGTGGATTTGAGAAAAGCTTGAGTGAAGCAACTCTCTATACTAAAACAAGGGGAGATAAGGATATCCTAATTGTGTCTATCTATGTGGATGACATAGTATATACTGGAAGCAATGAAGATATGTTGAATGAGTTTAAAGAAGATATGAAGGTTAAGTATGAAATGACAGATTTAGGGCTTCTTCATCATTTCCTAGGAATGGGAGTGATACAAACTGACTCAAGCATTTTCATTCATCAAATGAAGTATGCTTCTTCTTTGTTGGATAAATTTGGCTTCAAAGAGTGCAAATTTGTTTTCATCCCTCTTGTTGCCACTGAAAAGTTAAGCAAGGAAGATGGAAGTGGTGCAGTAAGTGAAGAACAATTTAGGAGAATTGTGGGAAGCCTATTACACCTCACAACTACAAGGCCAAATGTGATGTATGCAGCTAGTTTACTAGCTAGATATATGCATTGCCCAACAAACAATCACTATGGGACAGCCAAGAGAGTGCTCAGATATGTTAAAGGAACATTGGATTATGGTTTGAAGTATGAGAAAGGTAATAAGACAGTTTTAGTTGGATATTGTGACAATGACTAGGGAGGTTCCATTGATGATAGCAAAAGCACATCCGGCTATGCATTCTCATTTGGAAGTTGAGTTTTCTCATAGACATCTATTAAGCAGAATTGTGTTGCACTCTCAATTGCAGAGGTAGAGTATATCAGTGCATCAGAAGCCATAACTCTGGCTATCTGGCTCAGATTTGTTTTGGAGCATTTTGGGGAATTGCAAACTGAAGCAACTTCTTTGCAGTGTGATAATACATCTGCAATCTCAATAACTAAAAATCCAGTGTTTCACCAGCGCACAAAACACATTGATAGAAGGTATCACTTCATCAAGGATGCCTTGCAGCAAGGAATTATTGACTTAGTCTATTGTTCCACCAAATAGCAAATAGCAAACATTTTTACCAAAGCCTTACCAAGGGAAAGATTCAACTATCTCAGAGATAAGCTTGGAGTGATATTAGCTCAAAGCTTAAAGGGAAGTGTTAGTGTATAAGCATTGAGCTAATCTGATTTTAGAATGAATAAGCCTTGTATTTAGTTGTGTATTCACTTTGGTAATTTTACCAAGTGTAGGGCTTATATTGTAATTATGTCTAAGTGACATGTGTAAAGATCTTTGAGCCTAGTTGGATGAGTGGCTGAGATCCTTTCTGTTTCTCTGCAATGAGAATCCACATATATTCCAATCATTATGCACAGAGAGTGTGTGCAAAGAAATAGAAGAGAGAACATTCTCTCTGAAAATTTAGCAGAGAGCAAAAGCATCAAATCCTTCTCCATGTTTATCTGTGCTTTAATTTCTTCTTCTTCCTTCAATATACAAACACTTATTCAAACTTCATCAAATTTGGTACTCTTTGTTGGTTCCTTCGCAATAAATCATTTATAGAAGAGAGCAATTTGATCATTTTAAGTTTTAAGGAAATTTTATTTTTGTCATATTGTCATGTTCCTCCACGATACAATATTTCGTAAGTCATGTCTTGCAGAAGTATTCGCGACTAGAGCAGCATCGGGAGAAGCATAGAGAAGGGAGAAAAAGAGAAACGAGAGGCAAAGTTTATTTTATTTTATTTTATTTTATTTATTTATTTATTTTTATTTATGCAAAGAGTTCGGAATATAATGGACGGGAACTCTAACTAGCTGCATCATTGGCTTAATCATATAAAAAATGGTGATGAACATTTTGTTAGCTATCCCACGTTAGTGAGGAAGTAAAAAAATAATGACTTTAAATATGATTACCCCACTCTAACTAATATCGAGACCATTTGTGATAAAATTTCACACCTGACAGATTAGACATGCAGTAATTAGCAAGATGGGGACTCCATCGATGTCGTTAGATGGGCCCCTAGGTCTGTGCAAGCCAAAGACTTGTCACCAGGAAGTGTGGACTTGAAAACAAGCATGAACTCTTAACATAGACCTCTGAGTTTTAATAGCCGATGTGTGGATTTTTACGTGTGAACCACTAAATCCACTAAATAAGATTCCACGTGAGAAGGCGTGTTAGCTATCCTACCTTGGTGGAGAAAGTAAAAAATAATGATTTTAGATACATGTTTTGTTGCTGCTGATCCTGGCTGCGGCTGGGATCGGTGGGTGCTCTTTTGTTTTTGCTTTGGTCTCCCTCTCTTCTCCCCTCTGATGCCTTACTTCCTGGTCCGATTTACCCTATTCTCCTCCCACTGTTATGTCCCCTCCTCCTTCCTCTAATTTCCTTCTCTTTGGTCAAGTTCGTCGCGAGATGCGGCTTGTTGAGTCAGTGTGCTCTGATCTAGTGCATGCACAGGGTCAAGTGTTCCAAACACCCTCACCTTCTCTTTGCTGTCTGCCTTGGTTGGCAGTGTTGCTTGTGGATTTCCACGGGCTTCTTTATCTTTGCTGCAGGTTCTTGGTGATATGTGGCTGTGTTTGGACTGAAGATTGGAATTGGTTGCTAGGTTTGCTGAGGTACGGCTCGGTTAGGAGATGGGTTTTGGGTGGATCGACTAGCACTGTTATGGCAGCGTTGATTGCGGCAGTGGTTGCAGCAGGGGTTGCAGCGGTGTTTTTAGTTTTCTGTTTTCTGTTTTCTTCGGTTCCAACTTTTGGTTGGGCTTCTTTTGGTGTGTTTGGTTGGCCCCGATTTGCTTTGTGTATCTGTTTTGGGCCTTGATTGTAAGTTTATGTTGTTGCAATAAACGTTTCACCATGTTTTGGCATGGTGTTTCCTCCCTCCCCCCCCCCACCCCACACCCAAAAAAAAAATAATCCCCTTGACCCAATCTCATTTTGTCCACCGAAAGTTTGGCGCCAAACTCTGCTTAACCCTGCCGTGCGTCCTCGTCGTTGCGAATTGTGGCTACGGAGTCTGCGGCACAATGTAACTTGAATGAAGAATGATTGATTTGACCAATGACCTTCATTTGGATGTTTTAGCTAGAAACGATGTCGTTCCAAAATTGATCTCCATCCTTTTTAATAAGCACGTGTGTTTTGCTTTAACCCAATGTTTTAAACAGCGAAGGTGTATGCCCTGGTTTCATGAATAGCTCTGGTTAGGCGAAAGTGTTGAGGCATAAAGTAAAGCCTGAGAGGACCTTTTTTTTTAATATATTATATATAATATAGTACTTTGTAAAACAAATTAATCAACAATCAAACAGGCAATCAAGACCAAATTGAGATTATAATGCTAAAAACTTACTTGAAGTTTGAAACAAATTATGGTGGTGTGAAGAATTTTGAAACTAACTGAAGTATGAGATTAGGGTAAAACTGAAATATGGGATTGAGATTGAGAATTTGGGGTTTGAGGAATTGGGGATGGGGATGGGGATTGGCTGCAAATGGGAATATGGGAGAATCAGGTATTGGGATGAGGAAGAAAGGGATCTGTTGGGGCTTAAAAAAATTATTAGACTTAGGCAAAACGATGTCGTTTGGGCCAAGTAATTAAAAGATTTGGCCACAACAGTTTCATTTTAGGCCAAGTCATTTAAAAAAATCTTTCTTCTTTGTGAATACGTCGCCAGTGCAGGAGAAAAAAAAAATCACATGTCAAAGCCTCAGAGGCCAACCTTCGACTTTGAGAGGTCCCCAGCAATTTCAAGCAAAGGATATCGGCCACCTCATAACACCTACAGGCGCGCCTCAACCATGTTTAGGTGAGTTTTCACCTATTCCCAATGGGCAGAGGCAATTTCACCCTTGTCTGCCTCCAAAGCCGCCTCAGCGTAACTTGTAGCACGTTTTTTAAAACACTGTTTTAACGCCTCATGTGAGCCTCAACCCTAAAGCACAATTGTTTAACAAAAGAAGGAAAGTTTAGAGTTTGAGTGTCATCGTTAACGAGTAAACCACATGTGGTGTAATTACTTGTTTAGTCATGGGCATGGTCTAAAATATCCATAATATCCCAATATTTCCATCGAAATTTCCGTGTTTTTGGACTATCGATATTTTTTTGGACTACTGATATTTCTGATATCATCGATATTTTAGACCTTGCTAAGTCACTCATGTATCTTACCATGCAATGTATAAAGTGTAAAATATTGTACTAATTCATTATATATAAATGATTATGGTGTGTTTAAACTTCTTTCATTAATTACTACATATTTTCTACACTCACAATGTTTGCTAGCTCTCTATATAATCAACTTAAATCAGTTATATCTATCATACAATGCATTTCCTTCTAATTTTTTGTGATAAACTTATAGATAATTGACTAAATAAACATCCTGCAAAGTTTCAATAAAAATTTCCAAATTTTTCTTACAATTTCCGTGGTTTTTATTCAATTTTTATCGATATCGATACTATCCCGATATTTCCATCGAAATTTCGGTGTTTTTGGACTACCGATATTTATGATATCATCGATATTTAATACCTTGGTCATGGGTCACACTAAAAGTATAGAATCACCATCATGGAGACCGCAATATTTCTTTTGCATATTTAGATAACAATCATTTAGTAAAACTCGGCTTTTAATCTAATTATTTCAAGATGGTGTATGATTTTCTCCTCTCTTTTTTTCCCTCTTTAATTCTCATCTTATTTGAACTATCACGATTAAATCATTTTAACATCTTATATTAATTTATGAAAAATAAAAAAAAATAAAAAAATAAATAGGTGAAGAGAAAATCCAACTCCTTTCGAGATTTGAGTACGAAGATTTTTCCCATTTCCTACTCAAGCGAAACTCTGATAACTTATTTAACCGACTAACCTAACCCCATGAGTACTCGAATTACTTATGTTCCAACTTACAACCTCGTTATTCAAATTTCACATCCTAGGCAACGAATCTCAAAGTGACCATGGATGAAACACCAGATGAAAGAAAGCGCTCGGGTCGGTCCAAGTCAATTGGTCCCTGCGTAATCTCCTGTATCTTCGTCTTCCTCACTCACCTGGTCCTCTCTCTCGTCCCCCGCTTCTTCTCCGCCTCTTCCTTCCTCGCCCAACTCGCTCTCTCGGCCCTGCTGCTTCTCTTCTTTCTGGGTTTTGGCGGATGGTGCAGAAGGACCCTTCTGAAACGCCGCGCTTCAGCTCCGGCTTTCGTGTTCTTCAACATTCTCTTCATTTGGGGGTTTTACATATCAGTTATCAGTCAAGGTGACCTCAATTAGTTAACTTCATCAATTAAACTAATTCAAATGTTTTGGGTGTGCTGAGCAAATTTGAACAGTTAATCTGTGTGTTGTGCCTGCTGCAGCCGTGTCACTGCTCAACGACGCCGTTTTCAGCTGTGAGGTTGTCTTCCTCCTCATTGGTCTCTACAGGTTGGTACTTTTTCCAGCTCCGCGTTGCTTGTTTGCTCTTCAAAATCATCTAAACTTGACTGAGTAAATAGTAATTGCATCAGTGTAATACATTGCATTCTAAGTGGCTCGGGTAAACCCGTTAGATACGCCTAAATTCTTGAGCGCACATCCATCCGTTAAATTCCGCAATATATGCAATACATTAGTGTACTCTAGAATTTTCGAAATTTGACAACTTTCAGTGACAAGTGTGTTGTTATTGCAGTATAATTACAAGTGACCCTGGCTTTGTAACAAATGGGTTTGCCTCTTCAGACCAAGTTGCGGAGGGTTCAGTTTCTGAAGTTCATATTCATGAGAAGGTTGGAGATTTTGAACTTGGGTTCCATCTCTTTTGATGCAAAAAAATTTGAGGGGATTTTTTTCCCTCTTTTTATAGTACTATATATATATGTCGAAATTAACGGGTGCCTTAACTATTAAGTTGTTTCATAGTGTAATGCAGTTGGTTAATGAACTTTTATTTGTGCAGGAGTTGGAGGTTTTAGCAAGTGGTTTATCTGACGACTCAACTGAAGTATTTGCTTTCATCCTCTTCAGTTTTTCAGTACTAGAATGATCAGCGGTTTTTGCTTTTTGGTTTTTACTAGAAAGAGTTAACCTGTGGTGTTGTCAAATTTCAAACTTGGATAAGTTGATTTTTATTTGAATGTGCATTACAGATTGACAATTGACAATATAATACGCTTGACTGTATACTAAGAGAACATTTTCCATTAAAGAATAATTTGGCTCTGGTATCATGCTTATTGTAATCTGGATGCTGATTGTGCTCTGTCTTTCTCAGGGTTCTGGTTTGGTTACGAGGGTACGATATTGCAGGATCTGCAAGTCATACATAAAGGGTCTTGACCACCATTGCCCAGCTTTTGGGAACTGTATAGGTGAAGACAATTTTTTTCTTACTAGTAGTTTCCATGCAAGTTATATTAACGTTCAAGCTAGCTAATAAAGAAAATTAGATCGTATAGATTTCCTTTTAAGTTGGCTTGCAAGGGCCGCTGCAGCTGATTTTGATTGTGTTGTACTTGTCATGCCCTTGTTGTACAGGACAAAAGAATCATCCCCTTTTTCTAGTTCTTCTGTTTGGATTGATCATTACTGAGGCTTCTTATTTAGTATGCACATCACTCTGTAAGCTAACACTCTTGTTGTGATTGATTCTTATCCAAGTAACAGACTTTTTGTTTTCCTGTTCAATGTGTTTTGAAAATTATTGTTGCTTTGCTTTTACTTCTAAATTCCTGTATTTTTTTTCTTCAGTTGTTGCCAAATCCAGGCTCTTACGTAGACCTAGCTTAGAGGTAGGTCATTGCACCCGCAAACTTTAAAAAATAATTAATCAACAGTGTGGCTTTTTGTGGCATTTAGGTTGTAAATTACTTATAGCATAAGTTATCCATGCCTCTGCAGCTTACCTAGATTCTTTTAATCAATTTTGCAGCCTACTCTTTCTGAAAATTTAACTGTTAGCACAATTATGTTCACCATTCTCCAGTTGGTATGGCAGGTTTGTATCACTAATGCTTTTCTATGAGTTATGCTACTTTCTGAATGATTCATCCGTATTAGGTAACTTCATATGGAATCTAATAAACATCAAATTGTGTATGAGTAGGTGCTGTTTGTGATATGGCATATATATTGTGTATGCTTCAACATCAGAACTGATGAGTGGGTAAGTTCCTCATTGATTGATGAGCATATAATATATGAGAAACAAATGATGGGTTGATGGATTCGCGCATGTGTGTTATTTGTGTGTGTGTGTGTGTGCGTTTGAAGGGTGAAGGATTATATGTCCTTAATCTTATTATAACAAGTGACCTTTCTGATCAATTCAGGAGACTTGAAATGTAACACATATTCTGCTTTTATTCGAGTCTTACTGTAGTCCAATTTGAAATAGAACATTTTCCTTTTGGTTTGTTATTTGCAGATGAACTGGAAGAAGCATCCAGAGTTCCAACTTCTTGTTCAACCTCAGCCAGGTAAGTGCACGTCGCAGCACGAATTCTGGATCTTCATAATTTCCACCACCCGTATGCAGAATGTAACACCTAATATTTTGCCCGTCCAGGGAAAAACTTCACGAGTATAAAGTTCAGGAATCCTTATGACAAAGGCATTCGACAGAATGTCAAGGAGTTTCTAGCGTTAAGAGCCTGACAGTTTCAACGTCTATTTCTCCAGAAGCCTTGCACACTTCTCTGCGTTCCACCCATTTTTAAAAAGCAGTCGCTCTTATCGCTTCTTGCATATTCCAGTATTTGGAGCAACAGGAGTAGGAGGGATTGATTTAACGGAAATAGTTCTTGGGTTTGAAGGTAGTGTCTCAAAGTCCATTTCAAAAATTGACAGAACGTTGAGTAGGCCGATTATAACATATCTTGGCTCCTGTAAATTTACGGCCTGTGTATGCACTTCTGTGATTTGCAAGTGTCTTCATATTGTTGAACTCCGAATTATGATTCTGGTCAATGAGAGTAAATGTATAGGCATATAGCGACACGGAATTGGTTCCAGCTCTCTCCTTTGTTCTGTAAAGGTGGAGATGTAAAGGGAAAGGATGAAGAAGCTGTGACAGAATCCTTTTGGCCACCAAGCAACATCTTCGGCCCCTTCTCGCCGCGGCCGACATTCAGTACCCTTTCAAGGACCTTCCCTTCTCTTCTTCTCACACTGTGTCCTCTGATTGTAACTATCAAATAACTCAAGTCTGATCCTGAATTTTCATTTAGATTGTTGCAAAATGCAAATAAATTTTAATTAAAACATATAAGAGGGCAAATACAAGTGCAGTGGATGCAGGTAATCCTGGGCACGCGGTCTTTGACACTATTTGCAGTATTAGGTTTCGGAAGACTACTATTTGCGAGCATATCTACCAATGTTTCTTTTGTGAACAACAACTGTCTAAGGCCTTCTCCAACCGATCCAGTGAGAGGGTTATAGGGCTGAAATGACGTCAACTAGCCGTTGGATTGGAATTTGAATTTGAATTTGAAATTTTTTTTTTTTACAATTTTTTAAAAAATTCTATTTTTTTTCCTATAACTACCTAAGTCATTAAACAGAATTAAACAACATTAAACTTAAACAACATTAAAAAAAAAAACATTTAACAACATAAAACTTAAATGTCCACTCCATGTTTCTTTTGGCTCAAAGATGTGCAACAAGATCTTGTTGTACGTACTTGTTGTGGCACGCTAACGTATCATCACATTGTGCCTCATGTACTTGTTTAACGAGATATTACCAGTTCTTGGATCGAAATGCAAATTAGGCACATCATATATTTTTGCACGAGCCTTCCTTGACCTATTTGGATCATCATATATTTGTACACGTGTCACTCGAAATTTTATCCGAAAAATTATTGAGATTACATCTCAAAAAATTATTGAGGTAGTTTAATTTGAGCAACCATATTAATTCAATTAAAATAATAAATTATGTTTGGCCTATAACCCTTTGGCCTCCCTCGGTTGGAGATGGTTTTTTGTCACATGACTATATTTGGCCTATGGTCCTTTGGCCCCTTGGTTGGAGATGATAAGAAATATGGTCTTACACTGTTCATTAAAATATTAATTTCTTGAAGGACTATAGGGCTAAAACGAGCCATCTGGCCCTCATTCGGTTGGAGATGGCTTAATGGTATTCCACCTCAATAGTAAGTGAGAGGTCTAATGTTTGATTTCATCAAAGGTGAATATGAACTAATTCATTATGCTTAACACAATGTGAGGTTTAACCCAAACCCTCACTCTTTAGTGTAGATAATATCGTATATATTCAAAAGAAAAACAAACATTGAATTAAATGGACAAATAAAACCTAGAGTTTATATTTTTTTTTTAACAAACGATATTATCTACATCAAGGAGACGAGGTGGGTTAAGCCTTGCATATGACATGCATAAATTGAAGAAATGATTCACTCATAAGTAGGATGTCTTAAGCTCATCTCTCATTAATGACGAGATCAATATAGTTATTATGATTTACTTATTGTGTGGCTTAACTCAATCTCTCATTTATTCAGTGTAAATATATCATTCTAGAGAAAGTTAAATATAGCTTGAAGGGCTTTAAACTCCACGTTATTGTGTATCAATTATTGTACAAACTTTGTAGCTCCAGTGGTTATTTTGAAAGAAGATATGATAGCTTTATTGAAAGAAATCAACTAGGGTACATATCTTGGTTCACCTCCGTAATAATATATGGGGTTCCTCAAACCAAACAACGGAATCACCATTAGATAAACTCGACTTGGCAATGCTACGAGTCACACTGTACACCTAGGAAACTCAGACGCCAACTTTTAAATATCAGAAGCTATAAAACCGAGATTGTAGCTCCGGTGGTTGTTAACATTCACTTTTGGGTCGAAAGTTTTGATTTTAAATAGCCCACCAATTTATTCTCTGATTAGACAAACGCCATACTTGACCCCAAAAAAAGGGACAAACACCACACATTTTACTCCGTAACTTTTTCATGTGGCTTTACTTTTTAGTGCATTTCCAAAACGCCACCTAATCTCATCATTTTTTTTAAGGAAAACATTCACTCCCTCTTTTTTCATAGAACCTTACGGTAAATTCCAAATACGTGCAAAGAACGTAAACCATATGCATCTAGTAAGACACGTAACTCAATTGATTACAAAAACTCAAGTTCGAAGTTTGATTCTTCCGTCTTTTAGTATCGTTTGTTTATCAAAAAATACTCAACTAAAATATTTAAATTAGAGCATGGAGAAACATCTTATTCAACCAAATATCTCCCATAATTTTGCCACTTGGCGATTGCTACACCTTTATGTTCCCTCGTTTTCATGAGTAAAATAAATTGAAAAGGACCGTGTAGGGTTTTGCTCAAAGGCCACCCTCAATTTCTTCAGTAACAAAAACTGTTTAAAAATCGGAAGAGAATCCAGTTCGGATCTCTCTCATTAAAGGTTCAGGATCAAGTGATCCAGACAGTTGAAATTTGATTCAACGGCTACAATTATTATAATTTTTAGAGGAACACTCTGTTTGTAGCCGTTAGATTAAATTTCAACGATTTGAATCACTTAATCCTGAGCCTTTGATGGGAGAGATCCAGACCGGATCCTCTTCCTTAAAAATCTGCACTTGTTTGATCACCTAAGCAGTCCATGTTCACTTGTTGACTGGTTATGTAAGAGGGTTCCATTCTCAATTGGATTTGATTTTGATAGAATATTCTAACATAAAAACTTGGTTTTTCTCAAGACTTGTATTTAGTAACTTAATTGGATACCAAGAAAATTTTAATGGTTTGTATATTCTAGACCAATGAATCTTTATTTGAGAGAGGTTGAGATTTACTCCGTATCTCTGTTTCCGACGCTCATAAACTGAGAGATTTGAACTATTCAATTTAATCTTGCGGTTCTATTAACCCATGTCATTGACCCATTTAACAAAAATACAAAAACTTAGAATGACTCGTATCTCTTTTCTCTCTATTAAATAGTCTTTAGACACAGAGATCCATAGATCTCATTCCTTTAACATGGATGCTTATGATGAAATCTAATTCCAAAATATCATTATACTTGGGTGTTAACTTGCAATTAACACCTACATCAGCTTATCAACTTGCATATCATCTTTTGACTCTACTCTTAATTCTTCCATTTCTAACAAACAAATCAGCCACTTAGTACTACGGTTTGGTGGTATTCCTCTTCGCTTAGAAGTAAGAGGTCTTAGGTTTGAATCTCGTAGATTGCGAATTCGATACCAAATTAGACTGCACATTGTGTGGCTTAGCCGAATTCCTCCTCTTCCAGTGTAAAAATATTGATAAACTCAAAAAAAAAAAGTTACTTTTTGTTTTAAACTTGTAGCCTCGCTAATCTACATAATTGATGAGATCACAACTAATAACTAATTTATTTAATTCCTTCAACCTGGACAAAATTTGGAAGTTAGGCTTTCATTTCTTTACTTCAACATACCTTGGATCATGTGAGTTGCCCAATCTAATACAATTCTAAGCACCAAACGTATGTGAAAGTCCTGCTGGTGAAATAGTGGAAATGTTCATAATTTACTGGACTAAGCATAATATTCTTACATTATTAGATTTTGAATCACCAATTATGTTGAATATTGCTTCAATCTAAGTCTAATAAGAGAACGTTACCTGTTCATTATGTGTATCTGACAAATTCAATGCTTCTCCGTCAAATAAATACCAAAATGAATTAGAGAAATTAGATTTTAATAAGATTAAAATTATCTTTCAGGTGCATTGTCTTTACCCGTGAGGGAAAATTATTGTGCGAAGAAACCATCTTGGAATTTTAAAGATTGACAACTTAGAACTCGTTTGGATGTACTTTTAAAATGATTGAAAGTACTTTTAGTGAAAATATTTTAAGAACCAATATTAAGTAAAAATTCAAGTAAATCTTGGAAAATCACTTAAAATGTTTCCTGGAAAAAGCACATAACTGGTGCTTTTTGTAGAAAGCACTTCAAGTGCTTTTGGAACTCAAAATTTTTTTTTTCTTCTAAAAGCGCTTTTATTCATTTTAAAAGCACATTCAAACGAGTCATTAGTTATTATTTACAAACATGTTGACTTAGATATTTAATTTTTTAATTACAACGTTAATGTTGCGAAGATCTTAATTAACGTTAGTCATTCACACGCACAATAACAGTTCCTAGTTGCTAATTCAAGAAGAATCCATTTTAAGACTTACATTAATAAATGATTAATTAGTTAGTCATCAACACGTCTGTGCTCTAAATTAACAATTTAACACTAATAAATCCAAGAAGCAAAAACCAAAAAACGTTATGATATTGAGGGACACCATCTTGCTATATTAGGTTGGCCATGCAAAAAACATTGCTAAATTTCTATTTGCATCTAATAAAAATGGGACTCATGTGTTGTAAGTACTACTTTTATTAGAAATATGGTACAAATATTGTATGAAAAAAAGTGACATGTCTAACATTACTAAAATATATCCTTTATTCTTTAATTGTTAATTAATTAAAATTGTGATTTGCAGCTAAATACATTGTACTACTACAAGTTGGCTACCAAATAACAACTAGGTACACGTACCATTGCGTATATGGCAATTGTATGTAACCTTCTAATCCTCTATGCAAGTCCATATCAAAATAAGGGACCCATCTTTGTGATCACCGATAATGGGATAGATGGTGGATCTTCATTTTTTTTCAATTTTTGATCATTTTTTTGCCAAATGTAGGTGGGGTCCGTGGGGACATTGTATAAAAATTGTTCCCTATCAATAATTTTGACTCGAATGACTTTTTTTTAAGAAATAGTTCAAATGTTAATTAAAAAAAATTAAACGATTAAACGATGTCTATTTAAATTTTATACAATTAATATACACTATTCGCAAGACATGAAATATGTGCATCGTCATATGATGTAAGTATTGTCCTTTAGTAGTTATGATGTTTACATGAGTGAATTGCATGACAAAAGCATAACTATTTTCTGACAATTTTTCTTTTGAATTTTAATTTCAACCAATTATTTCTTCTAAACTTTCATGATTAGCTAATTTCTGCCTTGAATTCTAATTTCCCTCCTAAACACTATAAAGTGTACCAAGTGAATGAGCGAAAAAGAAGAAGAAGAAGGAGAAAAGACAATATGTTGCTCACATTAGGGATAAAAGTACCTTTGTGCAATTATAAAATTAAAATTCATGGAAAAAATTGGTTAATTGTAAAAGTT